TAAAATGCTTCTTTTGGACGAACAGGTAAGCATTAAAATGTCTTCTGTAAATTTTTTTTTTGCTTTCTTACCAACTTTGTGATTCTTTATGCATTCATAATTACAAAAATTTTTGGATTATTGAAATTTAATCTCAAAATTGTAGGTGATGGTGGGGAAATTATAATAATCGATCTCTTTTTTGGCATTTGGTATGAGGAAAAGATAAAGATCCCATATGCTTGGAATCTTACCAACTTTGTGATTCTTTATGCATTCATAATTACAAAGATTTTTGGATTATTGAAATTTAATCTCAAAATTGTAGGTGATGGTGGGGAAATTACAACAATCGATCTCCTTTTTGGCATTTGGTTTAAGGAAAAGATAAAGATCCCATATGCTTGGAATCTTATCTATTTTTATTATTCTTTTATTTTTTTTATTTACAGAACATTTCAGTCTTATTAACTTTGTATATTTACAAATGAAGATGATGAATGTGTTAAAGGAATCAACATTGTATTGAGTAATGATATGTTTGAAGTTACTATTCTTTGTTTTAGAATTCCTGTCTCTAATTTCACATATTAGACTTTCTTTGTGTTTATGGTTTTATCTTTAGATTATAATTCAAGAAATTATTCTGTAAGTTACTTCAGTTCAGTCAAAGACTCAATCTTTACATTTAATAGTTCGAGCTTCTTATTCTATTGATGACAAGAATAGGGTGTATAACTAGCTTGGTTTGTCTTCTTTGCCTTTTTTTTTTCTCTCCATTTTCATGTACTTGGGTTTATCATGCTTTCTTGGTATTATAGTTCAAAATGGGTGTCTGAGTTTTGAATTGATCTGGGATTTCAGATGCTAATGAGCATAAACTATTTGAGTTAATGTCACAAAAAATTATCTTTACTGAAGAAATGAGAGTGCAAACTAGAGAGATGTCTAAATGTTGTCATTTAGTTTTGTAGCACCTTGGATGTTACGTTTTAGAGAAACTGAAATTTGCTGCATTGCAATTCTCTAATTCTCAAGGAACATTTGGTGTTTTTAATGTAATGTATTTCCCAGTTCCCATTGTTGAGACTTCAGACTTACCTAGAGGATCAGAGTTCTCAAATCAAAGCTGAGTTAGTGATTTATTTTAAGATATTGTGTTTTCAAAATGATTGTTCTTGAGAATAAGCTACGAGTTTTAACAAATTCTTTTGCAGTTGTTGTTTATCTTTTCAAATCTCTTACATTTTTATCGTCCTTTCTCACTTGAAATTAGATATGTTAATTCAAATGGTTTAGGTTTGTTTTCATTGAAAAGATTGAAGATGTAATTCTTTATGCAGAGATGTTAACGCCAACTGCCCTGGAATTTGAAGAAGCTAGACGAATCAAATAAGAGGAAATGTTCTGTGTCTATAATCTATGGGATGATCCTGCTAAATCCAATGAAATTCATGTCAAGTTAGCTGGTAGTGCCAAAGTGGTTGATGCTCTCAAAGACCTAAAATACAAGGTATTTATTTATTTTTATTTTTATTTTTTTGAGATTAGTTTCAGTTGAGCTTTCTTATAACATATGCTGACTTTATTTCATAGAAACGAGCACAGAGTCTTGACTTGTATTGGGTTTGTAGGCTAGGGTAGCATGACAGAGGTTTGACCTATAGCTTTCAGGGCATAGCATCATTTGCTAAGATAATTGAGATTTTAGAAAGGCTTAGTGTTCTTTGGTTCAGCTAGATGATACCCACATGAATAGTTGTATTTGCGTACCACCTTTGTTTTAATTTATTAGAATCTAAATATACTTCTAAATGCATATTAGTTGTACCATTATAATATTCAGTTCATAACAAAATTAGAGACAAAGGTATTCTTCAGTATGATTTAGTTCATTAGTCTTGATTGAATTTATATGGGAAATCAAGAGCTTTGCCTATTGAATCTAGTTAGTTTATAACAAAATGTTCAAATGCGTCTTTGACATCTCTGTAATTTTAGGTTTTTTTTGGCAATGGTTAGTGGTAAAAGGGTTTGTCTAGCTTTTAGCTTTTTTAATGTTACAAAATGACTTCACGCAAAATGGTTAATCGGTTTTAGCTTTGATACTTCCAGCTTTCCATTTTTTTCAGCAATTATTTTACTTTCTTCATCAACTTGTTACCTGGTTTGTAAAGAAATGGCGAAGCTATCGTGGAAGCTATCATGGTATGAAAGTGTCATCTTATGTAGCATCATTAGTTTAACATGAAGAAATCCCCAAAAATTAACCCTTGAGATATGCTTGAGCTTAGGCTTTAGCTTTCTGCTTATACAATTATTATCCATGCGCAAGATAAATTAGTTAATTATAACTGTTCTTGAATGATTTTCACACTATCTTAATAGTTGATGTATGGGATGGACTTTTTTTTAAAAAAAATTTAATTGTAAGATTTGGTATGTAATAAAGTTCCTTCTCCATTTTTTGTAACGATTGCTCTCAAAAGAATGCAAATTTGTGTAGACATGCAAGAAGTTAACAAATCAAACTGGCTGGATGAGAGCTCTCAGTTATAATTGTTATTGATATAAAGTTATGGGTGATGCATGCTAAAGTTGCTGAAAAGCTTGTATGTTGCTACAATCAAATAATACTTGCTGGTGATACTGCTCATTGACTCCCTTAAGCTTGTGGTTTTGGTTAATAACTTTGTTTTTCTAAGCAGAAAACATTCTGATTATTTAGAATTTTCCTTATCTTTTGATCAATAATTTGTAACTGAATTTTCTTGGATGCACGTAAACCTAAGGCTATGGGATTTACCATTTTACCTTGCCTCTGTTTATTTCCTTCTCCTTTGTGGGTATCATGGAGACAACAAAATGCAACATGTAAAATGCAATACATAATTACATATGTTAAAGGTGGCTAGAATTGGGAATTTGTTTACAAGTATAGATGCAAATCATCCAGCAGTATAAAGTATATGTATGTAGGATACTAGGATTCATTATTGACTTTATTGCTTTTTACATTGACTTTTTAGTGACTATGAATTGATAAGAGCATTTCTGTATTGGTGAAGGAAGTCCGCACATGGTCTAAAAGATACTTAACAAGAACAGCACTTTCCATAGAAAGACAGATTGGATAATGATAAGAAATGCTTTTTAAAATTTTGAATTAGTATAAAGAGATATCTTAAAGAAAGTTTACTTGCTATTAATTCTGTTCTACATACTTAACTATACTTTTATTTGAGCTTTGCTACAAGCTTCATAACTTTTGTTGTAAGTTTAATTGCTAGGCTTCACTGGTTTCATTGTGGGTGAACTTTATTACAATATACTTTTGAGGTATTGATTTAGTTTTCATTGTTTTTTGTAAATGTATTCTTGCAAAACACATTTGATAATGTGTTATGTAACATGAGACAATTCTCATTTTTTCAAGTTGAATTTTTATTGCAGAAATCTCCTATGGCAAATTCCTTACATTGAGGTTGTGTCGTTTATATTATTTGTGAATCATATATGGCAGCGGATACTATGGCTATAATAAGACACAATATCGCCAGTATTTTGTTGTTTTTTATTGTATTCCTAAGCAGTTAAATATGCATATATTGTGTGATTGAGATAATTAGGATTAAATTCTCTAGAATTCATTGTTATATTTTTCTTTTAAGTAATGATATATTCTTTCACTACTAATTTCCTTTTAATATTAAATTTTTATTTTATTTTTTTAATTTCAAGGGCCCGGGCATTGACTGGGGTATTAACTAGTATTATTAAATTATTATAACAAACAAATTTTCTTGTGTTTCTGTTTCAAAGTCAATAGTCCATAAAGCCTGCACTAGTTCGCTCGACCCGTGAAT